TCAATACCTGAGGGCTGGGATTAAGAGTGTGTTCATCACAGTGCCCGGCTGGATGGTTTACTTTTTAAAGAAGAAACCTGTGGCTCCTCTTTGTGTGTGTGTGTGTCACCTTCCTGAAAAGTGTAAGAATCCAGTTTAAACCCCTAAGCTACACAAACACCACCCGAAAGCCACCTGTATGGAAAGGGGTGGCTGTAGGACCGCAGAAGTGACTCTCATGAGATAAATAACCAGTAGCTCAGTAACTTTTATAATTGGCGCTAACTTTGGACTGTAGCCAAAAAGAAGTTTCGGTTTCCCAGCGAATTTTTCTCGGGTTAATCCTCATCCATTTGCCTGGATCTAGAAACACCTGGGGAACAGGTTTCTGGGTGTGTCTGTGAGAGTGTTTACAGAGACTAATTGAGGGAAATCTGCACTGAATATCAGTAGCACCATTTCATGGATATGGGGCCAGACTGAATAGAATTTTTTATTGTTTCGCGATGAATTGCATAATGTTTTTGCCACAGCAATGAACGAAGCCACTAGCACAGAAGTGCGCTAAGGCAAATGGCTTTAGTGAGGTACACTGAAGGTTATTTATTTCAGAAACCTCGACCAAAACCTTTTGGAAATTTGTCTGGAGCTCAAGCAATTACCATTTAGCAGGTGACTTACTGAGAATGTACATTATGAAAAGCTCGCCCTTTGGGGAAGCTAAGCTATTCGCTGAATTCTGAATTTTCACTGTTGTAAAAGCAGTTTTGTTTTGTGTCGTGCGTGCACGTGTGCACGCAGGTGTGTGTGTACACCAGACAAAAGCACATCTTCAGTTGCTCCCCATCTTATCTTCTGAGTTCTCCATGCTTGGATGGAGCTCACCAACTTTGCCATACTAGCTGGCTGGGCAGCAAGTTCCAGGGATCTGCCTGTCTCTGCCTCTCTGATGCTAGAATTACAGATGTGTACAGGTCTACTTTTTAAATTATTATTATTAGCCGGGCGGTGGTGACGCACGCCTTTAATCCCAGCACTCGGAAGGCAGAGGCAGGCGGATCTCTGTGAGTTCGAGACCAGCCTGGTCTACAGAGCTAGTTCCAGGACAGACTCCAAAGCCACAGAGAAACCCTGTCTCGAAAAAAACCAAAATAAATAAATAAATAAATAATTATTATTATTTTATGTGNAAATAAATAAATAAATAAATAATTATTATTATTTTATGTGTTTGAATGCTGTGTCTGCATGTATGTGTGTGCATCATGTGAATGCAATGTTGAGGGAGGGGCAGAAACAGGGCACCAGAGTCCATGGAGTTGAAGTTAGAGAAGGCTGGGTTTCTGTGAGGAATTGAACCTGGATTCTCTGCAAGAGCAGCCAATGCTATTAACTACTGAGTCATCTCTCTAGTCCTCAGGTTTGGGTTTTTATGTGGGTGCTGGGGATGGAAACTCAGGTCTTTGTGCTTGAACTGAGACCACTCTACCAATTTACTCATCTGCCTTTATAAACCTGGTCTTAATCCAGCAAAATAAAATTGGATTTTCGGTGTTCAAGGGTCTGATTGTCCAGAATCTCACTGCCTCATAAAGAATTGTTAAGCTGTGACGTCACAAAAGGTGACATGATAAACCTTCTTGTTTTTGGGAGGGATCAAGTGGGGAAAGGGGTATGGCCCTTATTAAGCCTTTGGGAACTGAAGCAAAACCAAGTAAGTTCCGGTTGCACTTGAGGAGTCTTAGAAAAAGTGGCAGGTGGCTGGTAGAATAGAAATAAGGACTGTTGATTGACATGCTTCTGTAGGAGGCAAGACTTAGCCTATTCCTGAAGGGTCAATCATTAAGGGGGTTCAACCCAGAAGTCAGGTCAGGATGGAAATCATAGCAACAGCAAGAGGCAGTTGCTCCTGGGGACCTCAGAGCACAAATAGCTGGTTCCAGGATTACTGGTTCTGGCTTCCTTTCTGGTGCTGTGATAAAACACTCGGCAAAAGCAACTTGGGGGAGGAAAGGACTATGCATCTCATACTTCCGTGTCATTGTCCATCATTGAAGGGAACCAGGGCAAGTACTCAAACAGGAATGGAAAGCAGAGACCATGGAGGACTCACCTAGTGACCATCCCTGCCCAGGAAGCTGTGCCACTCACAATGGACTGGGCCCTCCCCTACCAACTGATGATCAGGAATCCCTCCCTGTAGTCAGAGGCTGATGTTTGCTTTCCAGTTGTCCAGACCCGAAATAATCACACAGAAACTATATTAATTACAGCACTGTTTGACCAATAGCTTATGCATATTTCTAGCTAACTCTTACATCTTAAATTAACCCATTCCTACTAATTTTGTATTTTACCATGAGGCTCATAGTTTATTGGTAAGGTTCCAGGGTAGGCATCTTTCTCCTTTGGCAGCTATATGGCATCTCTCTGTCTGTCTACTTTTTCTCTATATCTCTTCCAGCCTGGCTATATTATGCCCTGCTATATATAAAGTAAAGCAGCTTCTTTACTAACCAACAGTAATAAAACACATTCATAGCATACAGAGGGGAATCCCTCATCATCTCCCCCAGACATGTGATCTGGACAGTTCCTCAGTTGAAACTTCCCTATCAGGTGACTCTGGGTTGTGACTGATTGACCAGGACCCCTGGCGAGCTCTGTCTTCTGAATTGCATTGCATCATTGCTCATCATACTCAAGCGCTCCCTGTGGGTTTTTTATACACGGACCCCTTGCTGTGTGGTTTTGTAATGTCATGTAACAAAGTAAATAGAGTGTCCCTTCTGTCCTTGATATGAACCTGACCTGCATCTAGCTTTAGTCAACCGAGTAAGGGAAGGAGTCACTCAAGAGGCTTCTGGAAGCATCACATGTCTTTGACTTACTTCTTGTGTACCTTCCGTCTGCCACGAAGGGAACACATTCTAGTAGTGTTGGTCCTGTGGAAATATGGAGCTGGACAGACAGGACCCAACTTCAAGCTGGATGTAAGCTTCTCAAGCCTGTTGCTGGATTCAAAGCTTCCCAACTAATAATACCTGAGAGCAAGTAGGGGTGGGCTCATTGTTGTAAACCAAAGCTACAGGTCTTTTGTTATGCAGTACTAGTTGAGTATTTGCTAATGGATACATGCTCCAATGCCTAGTTTCCCTCTGTGTGCTAATGTGAGCCACCATGGCTGATTTTACAAAGGCTGAATTTCCCAGCCTTCTTTGCAGGCTGGGCAATATGAGCCAGTGCCTGTCAATGGGATGTTAGTAGATGTGTTTCTGAAAGTCACTGACACGTTTTCCTAGAAACCAATGGTGTGCAGCTCTCACCCTGTCCTCGTTCTTGCTGTCTGGAAAGAGCTCCAGCTGGCATGTTGGGTCTCGAGGAAAAAGTGTTACACTAGACGAGAAGGAGCTATGAGCTGCCTCCAGCTGCCTGCAGGACTGGGTGAGGTAGAAACTTACTGTGCTCCTCTTGCATTCCCCTCCGAGTTTGCCCGTGACCAGTTTCCAAATCACTTTTCACTGCACTGGAAAGATTATGGTTCTAATCTGTATGGTCAGACTATGGGCTGTCGTGGAGTAATGGCCAGCTGTCATTCATGCCGACCAAAATGGGGCCAGCACCGGTTTAAAAGTTAGCACTGGGAAGCAAAATGAAGAGTGACTTACTTGTAAAGTGTGAGGTTTCTTCTTTAAGTTTTACTTTGTGCGCATGGGTGTTCATAGAGGTTGGAAAGGGTGCGGGGTCTCTTGAAGCTGGAGTTACAGGCATTGTGAGCCATTTGCTGGGATCTGACAGAGATCCCAGGGCTCTGACAGAGAAATAGGAGCCGTTAACCTCTCAGCTGTCTCTCCACGGTGTTCTGAGATTGTGGCAATGGTCCCATAATTCTGAGAATATACTAAAAATGATGGAATCATACAATTTGAGAGTGTTTTTACGTTGTGTGTGTTTTCTATCTCAACAAAGCTTATATTGAAAAGCCAGAGTCTGGGCTGGCCAGCGGGCTCAGTGGGTGAAGGGGTTTGACTGAGTGGGAGAAAGAGAGCTGAGCTCCGGGCTTCATCTGCTTCCTGACAGTGGGTGATGCCCTGTGACCAGCCACCTCGAGCTCCTGCGATCCTGATTTCCCCACTATGATGATGTGAACTGTAGAAATGTGAGAAAACAACCCCCTTTAAAGTCCTTCTGTCGGGCACGGTCTCAGAATCCTGAGACAGATGACTAATACAAGAAGGCGGGGCTTGTTCTAGTGCCGCCCATATCTGAGTGGTTCCTCCCCTCTGTTAAGCCGCTCTGGAAAGCCCCTCATGGTCACACGCAGAGGCTTGGTTACTTAGTTGATTCTAATTCTTGTTGAGTTGGCAATCAATATTAAACCATCTCAGGTGTCAAAAAATAAATAAAATCAAGTGCAAATGAAAGAAATACTAAAAGATATTTGAGGGCCGACGAGACAGCTCAGTAGGAGAAGGCTCTTGCCACCAAGATTGAAGATCTGGGCTCCATCTTTAACTCCAGTTACAGAAGATCCAACTGTCTTCTGCCCTCCATGGGAGCTAGGCACAAACACAGTGCACAGACATACAAGTAGGCAAACCAACCAGACACACATAATAATACCATCAATCTAAATAAAAATTTTAAAAGAAATGCAAGAAAGGTTTGGATTTACCTTCTCTGAGGTATCAAGAGACACTGATGGGACAGAAACCAAGCTCTCGGGGGAGGTATCTCCTGGGGTCTGTGAAGTGGATCTCAGCTCACAGAAGCTTCTGGTTTATTAAAGGAAAATAATTGGAGCCAGGTATGGTGGTGTCTGCCTAGAAGTCCAGCACTCAGGAGGTAGAAGCAGGAGGATCAGGAGTTCGAGTCATCCTCAGCTGCACAGCAAGCGGAGGCTAGCCTGGGCTACATAAAACAGTCTCAAACAAATTGCAAACAGGTCGTCACCATGTTGAAACTCTTTTAAGCCATGAAATACCACTCACAATGCTTTCTCTTCTTTCAAAATACATCAGGAAGCTGGTCACCACCACTTGGCCCAAGACTCTGGTATGGTTCTGGCTCCAGTGCCACCAAGGCAAGATGCTGGAGATCTTCGTCATCTGCCCTCCAGATGGAATTCATTTCTGCAGTTCCCTCTAGATCCTCCAGGTGGAGACATACTGGGTGTGTCTTCCTGCTTCTGGGAATCCTGTCACCTTCCCAGCCCCCAGATGAGACTCCCTTCTCTTCTCCATCACAAGCAGACCGAGGTGGGGCGTGTGCAGCCTATCATAGCGTGTGCAGCCTATCATAGCGTGTGCAGCCTATCATAGCGTGTGCAGTCTATCACAATGTAATGTACACAGTCTATCATAGCGTGTGCAGCCTATCATAGTGTATGCAGTCTATCATAGCGTGTGCAGTCTATCACGGACAACGTCAAGGCCGCTGCAGTCAGGAAGGAGAGAGGAAGGCACATATTGTGAGTGCTCAACTTGCTTTCTCCATTTTATACAGCCCAGGATCCTCTGCCCAGGGAATGGCCCCAACCAAAATTAAGATGGGTCTTCATATACCAAGTAATGCCATTAATAAAACCCCCAGGGCACAAGCAGAGGCCCACCCCTGGGTGATCTTAGAGTGTGTGAGGTGATGGCAAACAGCAAACGGCACAGAGGAATGCTGAGGGCTCCTCTGCTGAGCATGCAAATGAACTCTGATCCCCAAACTTCTTACAAGCCAATAGGTTTAGCTTTAGTAACAAAACCCAAAAATAATTAGCTTAATAGATTTTTTCTAGATTCTAAACATTGAGCCAAACATTGTACAATGTTTCCTACCCCTATTCCCCATGATAACTCTATCAAGTAGATATTATTCTTTTAAGACCTATTTATGTGAATGAGTATTTTACCTGCACATATGAATGTGTACCATACCCTATGTATACCATACCCTGGATCCTCTCAAAGAGACACCCTTATTTATTTTGTGTGAATGAGTGTTTTACCTGCACATATGCATGTGTACCATACCCTATGTATACCATACCCTGGATCCTCTCAAAGAGACACCCTTATTTATTTTGTGTGAATGAGTGTTTTACCTGCACATATGCATGTGTACCATACCCTATGCATACCATACCCTGGATCCTCTGAAAGAGCCACAGTGCTCTTAACCACTGAGTCATCTCTCCAGCACTCTGCTATTACTATTAATACTATAGTCTCATGATTTCCCAGATTACAAAGAAAAGCTCAGTGTGATTAAGTAGCTTTTTTCAAGATCATCCCATTAGTAATTGGTGGCAATGAGATTTGAACTCCTACGCGTTTGATCCCAGAGCCCAAACTATGAATTGCTACTCTGTGATTCCGTCCAGGACTAAGCATCTGGGGTGAGGTATTGCGGGCCCAGCCTCAGCCACAGGCTAGGCCTGAGTGACACCCCAGCGATCCGTTCAGAAAGGCCGGGGTCCTCCTGCAGTTTTTCCATGTTTTTGTTTGCTGGGCTGGTTTGCGTTTTAAGCAACTGACTTAAAATTTCCCTTTCTTTTTCCTTCGCAGGAGCAGTGTCAGAAGCAAGTGGAAGTGAGAAGGTGCTGGAGTGGGGCTGGGAGAGCCAAACCAAATGCTCCGCACGGGAGACACGGGCCTTTCACCGTCCGGTATCCATTAATCCTTGGAACCGGAGCCTCCCTGGCACACGGGCAAGACAGGATTGATTTTTATGCTTAAAAATTGGCTTAGAGCTGGTGAGATGCCTCAGTGAGTCAAGGTGGGCACAAGTACTTGCTATCAAGACTTTGATGTCTGGGACCAAACGGTGTAAAGGTGGGATTGTCCTAAATGTCCTCAGGACCTCTGTGCTGTGGGGTATTGGTGCACGCGCGCACACACGTACTCTCTCTGTCTCAACAAATAAGTTTATTAGTAAAATAAGTTTTAAAATGTTGGGCCTAGAATTTTGAATTTTCTCATCTAATTATTTTCCACAGTTTTAAAAACTGAGAAACATTATTTTTAATTGATCAAAATGAGAAAATGACTGTTATTATAGTCACACATAAGGGACAAATTTATGAGTTTTATAGTGAGGTTTTCATACCTGTATGGGATGTATTTTCGTGTTCAGCCCTCGATTACCTACTGCTGTAACTGTCTCCTGCAGAAGAGGACCATCCATCCTGCTGGAAAGCTCTTTAAGCAGGAAGGTAAACACCTCAAAATAGCTTCGGGAAGTCCTTGGAACTGACCAGACCCACCAGGCTTCTCCCTCCCTGAACACGCTGTAATTGCGGAGAGTCTCTCTCTGACAAACCACACTGCAGGGAAGACTCTGGGACGAGCCTGGGAGAAGCAGAAACCTGCTGAGCTGCCTAGGAGAGGCCTGGAGCAACTGAGGCACTTGAATGGACACACTCTCGCCAGCCTGGTGAGCTTCTGCAGGCTGGGCAGGGAGCTCCAGGATCTCGGCTTTTGTCAGCTGTCACCCATGCTGGGGTGGACTTTGGTGATGCCGCTGTCTCTGAGTCATTTCTGCTTCTGTAAGTGACCACTCACCCATAAGCCTCCTGTTAAGTATCCCTGATAAAACACATGGTTCACCAAGTTGGACCTTGGTGGTGTCTATACTTTGGTCTGTCATGGGCTTCCTGTCTGGGATGAGTAGATGTGTGTGTTGACTTCTCTGGGGAAAATTTTGTCATGCAACACCTAGTCTTATCCCCCGACTCCTGTTCCCTTTCCTTTCCCATATACTCACCTTTCTACCTTCCTGTCGTATTTGCATATGTGATATGAAGGTAGAAAGGGAAATGTATACACAGCAACACTAAAATCTTTGTCCTATACATGATAGAAAAGTGTGATATTTATCCTTGAAGTCTGGCTTGCTTCATTTAGCGGGATGAGCTCCAGGTCTATCCATTCCCCTGTAGATGATCTAATTTCGTTCTTCCTTAGCGCCGAATAGAACTCCATATGTATGGATACCCCATTTTCTTTATTCTTTCACCTGTTTATTGACATTTTGAACTTTCTTGGAAGGAGTCTAACTCTTACGAGAAACGTAAGTCTGATGTAAAGGAAACGAAGTCTAAACAAGAGGGTCAGATCCCTGGACTCAGCTATTTGGTGGCAGACTTAGCACTCACACTCAAGGGTAGTGCCCTGAGCCAGAGCCCCGCTACTCGGCTCCTGCATTCCTACTGCTTTGAAAGGCATCTTCTGGCCGATGCGCTTACGGCAGAAGGAACCCAGTGTTCTCACAGAGCACAGCAGAGCAGGAGGTGGCAGTCTTACGGAGCCACAGGGGCATGTGTCCCCTGGCTGTGGTCAGTGGACAGGATAGGGTCACTAGTGATGCATGGGAGATCTTAGGGTATCCTGGGAGTATGTGTCATCCCAGGAGTGTTTGAATAGTCAAGGGCAGAAGCAACTGATACTAACTTAGTAGCTGAGGAACTGGTAATGGAGGATGGGGAGTCAATCACTGTGTCAGATTCCCTGAGAGAAACCGTGTGAGAAAGGTAAGATTTCTTCAGACTCGGGCTTTCAGAAGATTCCATCCCTGAGGGCTGGCTCTAGAATTTCTGAGCCCCCGGGTAGGACAGAACATCAATTTCCTCTAGCTAAGCCCTACCGTCCAGCTTTTCCACTATCTCTCAACAACACTGCAAGCAGGGACCAAGCCGTGAACACACGGGCGTGTGAAGATCATGTCATATCTGAGCCATTGCAGACCGTGTAGGAAGTTACGGGCAGGGGCATAGGAAACTTGTAAGGAGTAAAGGCATGGAGAATCCCAGGCCAGCACCTGGGGGACGCTTTCCCCTCCTCTGAACCTGAGAGGCCGAGGTGACCCTCAGCCTGGCCAGGAAGCCAGAGCAAAGGAGCCTGGATGAGGTGGGTCATGAATGCCAGCATTTCAGGGCACGGAGTGAGGCAGAGACGGGAGGAGGGAGTTGCAGGTCTATTTCATGGCATTACAGTAGAGGACCACAGCTCAAGTCATTTCTAACCAATAAGAAGATTTATTTTTAAATAAAAAGTTATTGGCTCCTCGTTCCAGAGGCTGGAAAGTTTAAGATTAAGGTGCTAGCAACTGGTGAAGGCCTCTTGCTGCATCATAACATGGTGGATGGCAAGCAGAAATGCAAGAGAAGGAAGGAGAGGAGTGGAGACTCAGAGGTGCACCAAGAGTTAGAGGGCTCAAGGCTCTCGTGTGCTCATATTATTCTCTATCCATTCCTGGACAGCTCGTGAAGCACCTCCCCACTCCAGAGACCTCACTGTATAACCTGGGCTAGCCTGAAGCTCCCACTGGGCAGTCGGTGGTTCTCTAGTCTCTGCCTCCCGAATGCTGAGATCACAGTTGTCTGCCACCACAAAGGTCCCATCTGTCAACTCAGCTCTCATGGTAAATAAGTTCCATTCTGAGTTTTTGAGAGGGCAAAGTGTCCAACCATGGCAGGGTAAGCTGGTCTGTCCAACACAGTGATTTGGTGATGGATCTGTGTCTGTTGCTATTTGCTCTTTCACTAGGAAGTTTTGCCCAAGGGGACACTCTGTTCTGGCCAGGGTTTTCTTTATCGGAACTCCAACTGACTGCCACAACGGGGCTTGGCCAGTCAATTTCTGCTGGGTGTCTGCACCCTTTGGTGGTGGTCCATTTCTGCTGTTACTTGTTCTGATTAGAAAGTCTCACCTGAGAGACTTTCGCTCTTTCTGGTACTCACCAGACACCCCAAACCTCAGTGAGGGTTTCCTAGCTGGTTTTTAAAAACTGGATGTTTTGAGCGCCTGATTTGATGTTTGCCGTCTGTCTCTCAGTCTATCCACCCATCTATCTCTTCTGTTTATTCCTTTACTTTGGCTTGCTTTATGCTTAGTAAATTCACAAATTCAAAGCTGAAAATATGACAACCATAGATCATGTTCAAGCCCATGCAGAGCAACCACCATTAGTCACCTCGTTAGTGTAAACTTGGGAGTGATCCAGGGCCCACCATGACTACCAAAGACACTCCTACCACTTAGGACATTCCAAGGACTTAGAAGCTCTGCCCTAGGGATCCAAGACAAAAAACAGACATAGTCTTTTTTTAAAAAAAAAAAAAAAAACAAAAAAAACAAAAAACCACAAGGTCCCATAGACTGGCTGAAACATTTTAGCTGGGGCAGACAAAAGACTGGTGTTGTGGCTGCAAGTCTGTTTCCATGGTCTTGACCTGCTATGATCTTAGTCACTGCCCCCGAATGCTTGGGAGGCTACATCTAGGGTCTACCAGGAGTAACATGGCTAAGGATTCATGACAGCCCTGACGCAGGGAGCTTATGGGAGGGACGGGCAGAGCAGTCATGTTCTGCACCAGCCATACTGGGTTCAGGGTTATACCTTTACTTCATTACATTTGTGTGCTGGTGGAGGGGGGTACATGTATGCCACAGTGCGCATGTGGAGGTCACAGGACACTGCAAGCTCGGTTCTCTTCTTCATCCTGAGGGGGTCAAACGGCATCAGGTTCAGCAGCAAGTGCTTTTACCCACTGGACCGTCTTTGAGCCTGGATCCATCCTTCCTTCCTTCCTTCCTTCCTTCCTTCCTTCCTTCCTTCCTTCCTTCCTTCCTTCTTCCTTTTTTTTCTTTTTTCTTTTGTTTTTGCTTTTGGAGACAGGGTTTCTCTGTAGCTTTGGTGCCTGTCCCAGAACTAGCTCTTGTAGACCAGGCTGGCCTCAAACTCACAGAGATCCACCTGCCTCTGCCTCCCAAGTGCTGGGATTGAAGGTGTGCACCACCACTGCCCAGCAAGCCTGGATTATTTCTTAGGGGAATGAAATCTTATTGCAGAGTCACGAAAGCAGTCACATTCTCTATGGATGAAGGCTTCCGCCTTGGAATGTGTAACATCTCGCCGGTTTCAGCCCTGGTCCTAATGTATAGAACAGATGCCCTTCTTCACTCCCGCCACACAGTGAGCACGGCTCTGCTTTCCTCTTCAAAGTGCTGACAAAGAAGGGGAGGCACAGGCAGAGATGGGGACATGTAAGTGTCTCACTAACATGGCTCAGATCAGCCCTCTGAACCCTGTTCACTAACCCTAGAAGTCCCTTCTAAGGACTGTCTTGGTGAGTGTGGACCCCTTCTCGGACTGTCACATCAAGCCACCCACATGCAGGATAGACGCAGCTGGTATGTTCTAGTTGCGATTAGCCATTAAAAGATTGGAATGCTTTATAGCGGTATTCAGCCCTCTCTGTTCCCACTCTTGAGTGTTCTCCTGTAGGTGAACACGAATAGAGAGAGTAATCCCACACTAGCTCAGAACTGAGTATAATAAAGGGTTCTTTATTTAGACGGCAGACTCACAGATCACAGTCTGCACAAGCAGGGAACAGGAACCGAATCCAGCAGCCAGGAGAGAGAGAGAGCAAGAGTGTCGTTTTTTGGTACCCAACCTGGTCCAGCTTCTCAAAGGCCATTTACTGAAGGATACTGTGCAGAGTAAAACTAGAGGCCTCCTTGTTGAAAACTGAATAAGGGGCTAAGAATGTAGCTAAGTTTGTACTGTGCTTGCCTGGCGTGCAGGTGAAATCTTCGATGTGAACCAATCCAGGGTTGGAATCTCAGCACCCTGGAGGTGAAAGCAGGAAGGTAAGAAGTTCAAGGTCATCCTTAACTGGTTTGAGACCAGCAAGAGCATAGTGTTCAACCAACTATACAGTCTTATTGATCATAAGCGTCTTCGAACTCATAGGACCATGTATGGTACTCAATCTCAATGGTCATCTTGATGAGACCTAGAATTACCTTGGAGCGAAGGCCCTGGAAATGCCTATGGGAGATTATCTTGACAGGTTAATTGAGAAGAGAAGATTCACTCCTCGAGGGAGCACTCTGTAGGCTGGGCATGGGCTGTATGAAAAGGATAAAGCGCCCTTTATCCTCCCTCTGCTTCCTTTGCTCTGTAAAGCAACCAGCTGTCCCAGGCTGCTGCCACTCCGACTCCCCTAACATGGACTGTACCACGTGAATCAAAATGAACCCTCACTTCCTCACAGTGGTTTCCTCAGAGTATTTTATCATAGAACCGCAAAAGTAGCTAAGTCAGAGCAAAACTGCCGAAGTCCCAAACCATGAAGCTAGCCTTACCTGGAACCCCTTCAGTCTTCCTATCTGATGGCAGGGGCCTCCAAGGCTCTGGCCAGCTTCAAGGCCAGAATTCTTCTGATAGATAGTAGGTGGCCAAGCCCTCCTGTGTTTATGGGCATAGAGGGGTTGAGTAACCAAGAAGTCAGCCTGCATTAAGATGCTGACGATGTTCACCACAGCACAGTCAGCGTGGGAGGAGGGCTACTCACCCGTCAGCAAGCACGGCTGATTTGCCTGTTGTCCTGCCCATGTGGTTAAGTCTTTGTGGTCCACATGAGACAACCAGAGTCAGTTTCTGGAAGGAACAGGACTGGAATCTGTTAGTGGAAACTCTTTCTCAGAATTGTAGAAGGCCAAACAATCTTCGCGGACTTTATTTTTAGCAGATGTCCTT